ACAGAGGAGCAGGAAGGCTGATGTTTCGGGCCTAGACCCTTCTTCAGAAAATGAAGACGGGTTTAGACCCGAAACGTCAGCTTTCCTGCTCCTCTGGCGCTGCTCGGCCTGCTGTGTTCGTCCAGCTCTACACCTTGTTATCTCACAATCAAAATAAATGTCTGGTTAAATGATCACACAGTTCTAAGGCTCTGTGACCATTATTGAAGCTCATTATTACACTTCAAGGCCTATGTCAGATGTCTTCAAAGGAAACTGTAATAAATACACTTATAATTCTATGCATGACATTTATAAATGTGTCGGCTTTCTTCAGTTGATCACATTGTCATTTCAGGGCAGTTGTGTGTTCAATCCTCTCCTCATGACAGTGCCATCCCTATTAATACATCAGTGAAATACTGAGAGTGTTGTGTATTTTTAAATATGCCTTCTTTTAGAGAAGGTGTTATCCCAGGGTCTAACTTCTTCTTCAACATAAGACCATAAGAACTCAGAGCAAGTGAAGGCATTTCAGCTCCTTGAGCCTGCTCCACCATTATGGTATCAAATCTTGTCTGATTATGGTCCTTGTGAAGTATTTTATAATGTCTTTCTGGATTAAGAGCACTATATAAATGCAAGCTACTATTAAACACCAAAAGAACTGCTGACGCTGTAAATCAGAAACAAAACAGAGATTGCTGGAAAAGCTCAGCAGGTGTGGCAGCGTCTCTGCAGAGAAATCAGAGCTAACATTTCAGGTTAAGTGACCCTTCCTCAGAACTGAAGGTAATTAGGATAATGTTGGTTTATATGCAGAAGCTAGGGTTGGGGAGTGGTTAAGGAGTAAATGATAAGTGGGGATAGAGCCCAAAGAGAGAGAAGAACAGTTGGACAGACAAAGGAGTGGATAGCGATCTGGTGAGGAGGGTGAATAGCTGTTAATGGGGACTGTAAAGTGACTAACAATGGGTTGTGTGCCGTTGCAGGTTATGTGATAACAGGGCCTGGTGTGTGGGGGTTGTGGTAAAGACATGGGAAGAGCTCAAGCCCTAAAGTTATTGAACTCGATATTGAACAGAAGGTTGCAGGGTCCCCAAGAGGAAAATGAAGTGCTGTTCTTCCAGCTTGCACTGAGCTTTGCTGGAGCATTGCAGCAAGCCTGAAACAGAGATGTTGTCAGAGAACAGGGTGGTGTGTTGAAGTAGCAGGCAATTGGAAGTTCGGAACCCTGTTCTCAAAAAAGACCCTGAAGATGTGAGTTGCAGCAGAATATGCTCAGTCTAGTTGGGTGGGGGTGTGAGATAGCAACCCAAACCTGAAAAATAGTTATACTGAATCCCTACAACCTGCTTTGTAAGACCTCTGTAGTCATGGGCTCATTATTTCTGTCTGGATTCAATTCACATATCCACCCCGGGCTCTAAAGGTACTGAAGTCTACACCCTACTTAGAGATGAATATATAGATCTTGCTAAGGGCAGCAATGATGAAGAAGAAGCCCAAAAATATTGGTTCTGGCTGGTGTGCCAGTTTCCCCAACTCCAGTGCCCACCATTATACAGGGGAGAAAGAGGAGATGGGCAGTTTTGTAATGGGGGGTGTCAGGGCTACACAAACCCATCAGATATTTAGCTAATAGAGCTTGGTGTATCTAATTAAAGGAGGATGAGTATGATTTTCCTCACAGCATGCATTTCTTGCACCGGTGATGGCCATTTTAGGAGCCTGGTTTAGATTGTGTAGATACTTTCTAATCAATCTGTTCAGGGCTGTTATTCCGCACTTTTGGAGCAGGTGGGACTTTAACCCAGGCCTCCTGACTCAGAAGTAGGGACACTACTTTTACACCATAAGAATTTCTTGGCTTTGATGTTTAGAGGCGATTTAATAGCGATTGTTAAAATATTAAAGGACTTTTTGTCATCCTGCTGTCTCATGAGATGATAGTTTGCACCTTGATGGTTAATTCATTGTTAAACACCACCTGGTGTTGCTCTGGAGGCCCCTCCATTGAGGCAGTGGTAGATGATGGCTTGAGAAGATGTAGAATTCATTGGTACCTGTTTTCCCTAGGGTTCTTCGTTGGCCGGCTGAGCTTTCTGTTTTGTCTGGCCTCTTCCCATGCCCCTCCAAACAGTCAACCTGCAGAGATCATGACCACTGATAACTGTCTTTCACTTGTCTGTTTCAACAAAAGCCATCTTCATATCTTGTTGGCAAGTTTTATAGCAATAGAGATATGGAACTCCACCGAACAAAAGGTCTTGCAGACTCCATCTAATGAATGTTGCCGAGCCAGCGTAGACATCATTTACATAGTAATGAGTGTGTGCGGATGACATAAGCATGCTCCAGGACTTCTGAGTTTGTGTCATTGTCTTACCAAGTGATATTGAGGATATATCTGAAGTAGTGAAGGTGGAAATTGTTCTGTGTTTTCTCCTGTCTAACAAATATTGTCCAGGTCTTACCACTGTGAAGAAGTGCACCAAGGATGCAGGTTTAATGAATCCACAATTTGGTGTTCCCAGTCAGATTGCAGTTGTTCCCCATTCTCAAAGTAAACTTGAATGTAAGAGCTGATCATTTCAACATCATGGTGATCGTGGAGTCCAGACAAAAATCTAATAACAATCTCCAGCATCATATCGTCAATGCTGGTCGATGGTGGAATAACAACATCTTGGACAATGACATGGTCTTCCAGGTGGTGAGGTCAAACCAAAATCTTTATAGGGGTTAGAGGGTCTGTCCATTTCCGAGTGAGGGTGCTCCTTAGCTTGGAATGCAAGGGAAAACATCATAATTCTATTTCCTCCAGTCAAGGAGCTCAGAATAGGGGGCATCATCTTAAAATTAATAAATGTGAGGTGTTGCATTTTGGTAAGATCAACAAGCGCAGGACTTATACAGTTAATGGTAGGGTCCTGGGGAGTATTGTTGAACAGAGGGACCTAGGGGTTCGGTAAGATAGTTCTTTGAATGTTGCATCACAGGTATACAGGGTGGTAAAGAAGGCATTCTGACACCTTGCCTCCATTGCTCAGACCATTGACTATAGGAATTGGAACATCATGTTGCGGTTGTACAGGACATTGGTGAGGCCACTTTTGAGTACTATGTACAGTCTGGTCGCTCTGCTATAGGAAGGATACTATTAAATTGGAGAGGGTGAAGAAAAGATTTACCAGGATTTTACCGGGACTGGAGGGTTTGAGTTAGATGACCGGAGAGGCTGGATAAGCTGGAGCTTTTTTCACTGGAGTGTAGGAGGTTGAGGGGTGACCTTATAGAGATTTGTAAAATCATGATGGGTATAGATAAGGTGAATAGCAAAGGTCTTTTCCCTAGGATAGGGAAGTTCAAAACTAGAGGGCATATTTTTAAGGTGAGAAAGATTTAAAGGGGACCTGAGGGGCAACTTTTCCACACAGACAGTGGTTTGTAAGTGGAATAAACTGCCAGAGGAAGTGGTAGATGCAGGTACAGTTACAACACTTAAAAGACATTTGGACAGGTACATGAATAGGAAAGATCTAGGGGGATATGGACCAAATGCAGGCAAACGGGACTCGGTTAGTCGGGGAAACTCAGTCAGAATGGATGAGTTGGACCAAACGGTCTGTTCTTGTGCTGTATGACTATGAGTAAAACTTGAAAACGTCTTTTTGCATAAAGGGTATTGGAAATTTGATTTCCTGTCCTCGCCAAATAATTGTAAATGTTTAGTTAATTGTAATTTTCAAAACTGAGATTAAAATATTAGATTTTTGTTAGTGAGCTATAATAGGGGATACAGAGTAAAGGAATGGTAAATGGACTTAGGTACAGGAACAAAAACAAAGTTGCTGGAAAAACTCAGCAGGTCTGGCAGCAGCTGTGAAGGAGAAAACAGAATTAGCATTTTGGGTCCAGTGACCCTTCTTCAGGACTGAGGTACAGATTAGCCATAATCTAATTGAATGTTGGAACAGACTTGAGGTATTGAATGTCCTACTCCAGCTGTTATGTCCACACACTGCATTGAGATAAATAACTAAATCACTTCTTGTCAATGCTGGTTGTGGAATAAATGTTGTCCGTACACAGAAAGAAGCTCTCTCATCTTCTTTGAATAGTACCATGGAAATTTCCATGTGTAGCTCCAAGAACCTCATTGGAAAAGTGGTACCTCTGATATTGCTCAGTGAAGCGTTGACATATTGGAGTATTGTTTCCAGTCTCTGAAGTGGAACTTTAAACTATGACCTTAATATAACTCGAAAGTGTGTGCCACCATTGAGTCAAAGCTGAGACTAGTAATAGAAGCTGTGTGCCCTCGTTTGCAGTGACTGCTGTCATGAATGGCATGATACCCAAACTAATCCACATCCCCTGACCAGCACTATGTTATCTGCTTACTTTCAAGTACTGAAGAGTGGCTTGAATGTACAACTTTTTAAGTACAGAGATATAACCAAATTTATAAACCTGACAAGTATTTATAAAATTTTTTCTGAGAAAATTGATTTTGCCGGGAGAGCTGACATTTATTGCTCATCCCAAATTGGATTTGAGAAGATGGTGGTGGATCGTGCCCTTGAATGGCTGTAATTGTACGGTGAAAATACTCCCATGATGCTATTATGTAGGAAATTGACCTAAGGACCAAGAAGAAATGATTATTAGTGGTCTGGGACAGGCCAGAATAGTGCAGGGTTTGAAGGTGATGTTGGTCTGATACACCTATTGTCCTGAGAACCTGAGGAAGAGTCACTGGGCCTAAAACGTTATCTCTGATTTCTCTCCACAGATGCTACCAGACCTGCTGAGCTTTTCCAGCAACTTCCGGTTTTTGTGTCACAAAACTGATGATGGGTTACACAAATTCTCAAACACGCAATGTGATTTTCTCACAATGTTTGAAACGTCGTAGCACATTACCTTGAAGAGATTTCTGTACAAGAGCTATTTTAACTTTAATTTTTACTTTGCAAAGGTTTCAGTTCCTTCGGTTGTTGTTGAGCCTGCATCCAACAATGAAGGTGAAGATGATCCAGGCCAAGCAGAGAATGAAACTCAGGATGTGCAAGAAGTGGAGAAGAATGCGGTTGCAGATGTGAAAACATCTCCGACAACCAATGCACCAAAACAGACTGAAGAAATGAGTTCAGAGAGCACTGGGAAAGATGACAGTGCAGAAAATGCCAGTGCCCCTCAGCAACAGAGTGCAGCTGAGGATGAGGTTTCTGTCTCACAGAGCATGCCTCCAGGGTTCATGTACAAGGTGAGATGTTTTATGTTCTGCTACTAAACAAACAAGAGTCTTTATCTCATATTATCGAATGTTACATGTGCGTAAACATTTATAAAAAACATCCTCAATATTGAAGAGCTACAAAAGTGATTTGTTTTTCTGCTGTAATCGCTTACAGCTATAGCTGATAACTCCGTTTCTTTCTTTGCTACCTCTTGCCCTCCGCTTCAGTATTCGCTAGAATTCAAGGGTGCCATATCTTCCACAGACTGGAATTCTGAACATGGGGCTAAATGTTCAGTCATTTCAACTGACAGCAGATCTAAGCCAAATCCTTTCCGCCACAGAAACACAGAAAAACACACACTCATGTACAGTAGAAAAGGATGTGCTAATATTTGTGCCAACTCTTCCCTAGACCAATCCAAATCTAATTTCAGTGATCCATTCACTGCATAAAGCCTTATATCTGCCTCTGCTCCAAAAATGTATCAATTTAAAAGATGTCTCAAACATTTCCTGATTAAAATACTGTAAAATCCTTCTGCATAAAGTCATTTCTCCTAATCTCCCACCTTTTTCTTTTCACAAGAATCTTAAATTGATATCCTTGCATCATTAATTCCCCAAACAGAAGAAAGAGTGTTTTCTCATTCAGGAGATTAAAGCCTAATTTTATAAAGAACTCTATTAAGTATTCATTTGGCCTTTTCTGGAAACAAACTTTCTTCTGTGCTGGCAGAACATATTGATAATAGACTAGGTAGGTTTCTAGATAGTATTTCACCACTGCCAACATACCCCCTCTCAACTCCCAACAACAACGTCCACCCAGGTCACCCAGAAGGTAATTGAAACCAAGGTCAGAAACGTTCAACAATTAAGTCTGTGTTGGATCCACATCTCCGAGCTACTGTCTCTTCAAATAGTTTCCCTGCTGGACACTACAATGGCAAAAGTAGAACTTACACACTGAGAAATTTGTGTTTACAAGGTTTTGCTAGATAGAGCAGATGAGAACTATATTTTCTTACCCTTAGTCAATATATTTCATCTGCAAATATTCTCTTTATGTCTCCCCGTCCATCCAAATTTCTTTCAAACTGTCAGTGATTCAAATAGGATAAATTTATTTACTCTGTGAGGGGATATACATAAGAGGTGGAAAAAAATTAATATTAACGTAACATTAATATTATTATTATTACAGCCAAAAAATTGTTTGTGAAGTGTGATCATTTTTGTAAGACAGGCAATTTCAGAAATTAATTTGTGCACAGCCAAGAGATCATGGCCCAATGGTGGTGCATGAACAAACACTGATCAGTTATTTTGGAGAAACACCTTGTCTTCTCCGAAGTGTCTTTTTTGTATCTATGTCTGAGGTCAGACAAAGCCCAGGAAACTCACCCAAAGGAATGACACCTTTGACCATTCAGTACTCCCTCAGAATTGCACTAAATTTTCAGCCTAGATTATATGTTCAAGTCTATGGGGTATGACTTGAACTCACAATCTGCGGACTCAGATGCTAGCATGCTATCACTGATCCAAGGTTGACAATTAATAAACTCTTTCTTTTTCTGTAAATATTAGAGGTGTGTATCCTGGACTTTCAGAACACTGCAAGCTGAAAGTTGATGTAATAATCCAGTATGTGGCTATTAATATCATATGCAAGATGAAGTGGACTTTAATGTGGTGGATGCGATATCAACGAAAGCAGACATTTTATGGTTGAATTTTCCAACAGGTTCAAGCACTCCATAACTTTGAAGCTGCTAATGCAGATGAACTTAGCTTGCAGCGTGGAGACATTGTGCTGGTGGTTCCATCTGAGTTAATAGAAGATCAGGTAAGTAGAAATCACCTAGGTGGGTCAGAGCTATTTATAGAGTCATAGAGTCATACAGCATGGAAACAGACCCTCCAGTCCAACTTGTCGATGCCGACCAGCTTTCCTAAACTGAAATAGTCCCATTTGCTTGCATTTGGCCCATATCCCTCTAAACCTTTCCTATTCACATACCTCTTCAAATATCTTTTAAATGTTGTAATTTGTACCCGCCTCTACTGCTACCTTGTTTGAACTTCTTATAACAAGGGATAGATCACAAACCTTAAATTGTAGATATTTAATGGAGTTTAGACACAGTTTGACCCATTAAATTGCTCTTATGTGGATTTAATGGGCAACAATCTCCATATTATTTGACAGCAATTCTAAATCCCCATTATCTCCTTGGCTTCTCAGCTTTCTTGATGCTGATAGATTATTCGTCTGACAGTCAATAACTTTCTCCAGCTAAACAAATGGGAAGACTGAAGCTACCATCATTGCTTGCTCCACAAACTCTCTTCCTTACATGTATGTAGCATGTAGCTCATGCTAGTTCCTGGTCACAGGTTAAACCCTCCACATTTCAGAAAGTCCCATGAAGCTCATAGGGATGGCCAAGATCTCGCTGTGTTCCTCCAGCTCCACACTGTGTTATCTCAGACTCCAGCATCAGCAATTCTTACTACCTTCAAGATCCAGCTACGCCTGACCTAATTCAGAAAAAGTTCTTTTTCACACTAGTTTCACATCACACTGTGAACAAGCAATTCAAAAATTTGAAAATCAAACCTATGGTTTGTAAAGATTTACTAAATGTTCACATTGGAAATTTTGCCCACAACGTAATATTATTTCCCGAATCTTGTGCACCTGCAGGAAAGTGGCAGTTGGCAAGAAGAGTGAAAATTCAAAAGGTTTAGTGCAAAGATGTTTTGAAGAGCTGCAGAATGTTAGCGGTTTTAATATTTTTTTGGGGATCAGCTGGCTTTTTAAAAAATAATGTAGTTGTCATGCATCTTTTTTGAATTTGGAGAAGTTGATTAGGGTCGACACTGAGCTTTCTGTTTTGAAATTGGTGAAGCATGCCATATAGTGTTCAAGGAGGATTTTTGTTTTTGCAAATAAGAAAAGACTTTCACTTATATAATGTCTTACTACATCACTGGCCTCCAAAAGTGTTTTATTTCCTTTTGACATTTATTCACTCTTATCATGCAAGTCACAGCAACCCATTAATTCATAAAATCTATAAATATAAGTTGAGATGAATAACTATTTGGTGGTATGGCTGAGGGAGGAATGTTGGCCACAACTTCAGGAGAGCTTCCTGCTCTTCATTAAATTGTCATCATTCAAAGACACCATTTCCTCAATAATTTACTGAGTCACATTTATATAGTTGGGACATTTAGATATGTGCTTAAACTGCAATAACCTACAGGGCTACCAACCAAGTGTTTAAGTTAGATAGTTCTTTTCCCTGATAGCGAAGACCATATATGTTTTCTATGTGTACATTGATGGCAGTGAAAGTCTCTTCCTTTGCTAATGTGTTTATGCAGCGTCAAACTCCACAAATCTAGTAGTGAGTGGCGGTTGTAGTGAGCATATGGCAGAAGTCACGTTTTGTGTGCCAACGCTATTCCTCATTCCATGTGCTTCTTGTCATACACACTCTAGAACTTCGGCTCTCTAATGAGAGCACAAAATTGCAGAAATGTTCCTTTTTCTATTAAGTTGCTACTAATTGTTGTGCACTGTGCCAGCAAATTGGCCAACGATCGATCTCCCTCAGGAAACAGACAAATCACGAAAGGAGACAACAAGGTGCAGGGCTGGATGAACACAGCAGGCCAAGCGGCATCATAGGAGCAGAGAGGCTGACGTTTCGGGCCTAGACTCTTCATCAGAAAAGGGGGAGGGGAAGGGGGTTCCGAAATAAATAGGGAGAGAGTGGGAGGCGGATAGAAGAGGGATAGAGGAGAGGATAGGTGGAGAGGAAACAAACAGGTCGAAGAGGCGGGGATGGAGCCAGTAAAGGTGAGTGTAGGTAGGGAGTTAGGAAGGGGATAGGTCAGTCCAGGGAGGACGGACAGGTCAAGGGGGCGGAAGTTTTAGTAACGTTACTTAATCGCTAAATATTGATCAGGACCAAAAGTTTAGGATAGAGATTGGAGGACAGTTAATCTTGTTCTTTGAATAGTACGTGACTTTTTTTTTTACTGAGGGTCACCGGACCCGAAATGTTAACCCTGATTTTTTTTCTTCACAGATGCTGCTAGAGCTGCTGAGCTTTTCCAGCAACTTCTGTTTTTGTTCATGACATTTTTTACATTGACCTAAGAAGACAGATGAATGTTTTCTTTACTCTTACAGGATGCTGGATGGCTCACAGGCATAAGGGAGTCAGATTGGTTACAGAATGGTGCTGCCAATGCCTTGAAAGGATTATTTCCCAAGAACTTCACTCAGCAACTGGAGTAGACTTCAGCCATTCAGTCTGTCTGTGTGGAAGTTAACAGAAAAGCAGGACTTTGTTCTGCAAACCACATGGTCTCCCACAACGTAGTTGTGTCCTTAGAATCTTCAAAGGGTAATATCAGAGTTGGAAAGTTAATCAGGGAGGTCAAAAGCACTTGATGAACACAATGAAGAGAGGAAATGTATATTAGATGAAATTAGCTGGAAGCATGGCATTGACCTCAGTATAACTATTTCGAACCAACTACACAAATTAATATGTATTTGCTTCTCCAAGTGCAACTCCATGTTTATTTGTATTCTCCTGGAGTTAATGTTGATTCTTGAATGAACCCCTTATCAGTATAATGCTAGTGTAATCCTCCAGATGACAAATTTATGTTTTGCACCATGCACTATATAACTTTGTTGTAATGCACCATAGTTCAGTAGTTTGTCAAATAATCAAATAATCTATGTATACTTATCAATCTTTAATATATTTACTGCGAACTGTTTTCATTCCTACACATAGGGTCGAAGAGCTGTCTTTTCAGTAATACAGTGTACGTAACCCTACTTTATGTATTTCTTCACCCTATATTTCACAGCAATTCCCTTTGGCCGTTTTTGAACAAATATTGTTGCTTTATTGCCAAAACAAATCTAAAAAACTGTGTTTGTAACGTATTGTGCATTATGATTGTAAAATCCAGAATCAGAAGGAACAAGACTCCTCCACCTAGTGGCCAGATGATACTTTTCCACTCTGTTCCATATAAACAACACAGGTATCTGCAGGTCTTTTACAGGTGAAATAAAACAGTACATTAGTTATTCAAAACCACAGCCTCTATTTATCCTTGCAGCAACAGATTGGCATGTTTTATTCTGGTTAAGTGAAACATGCAACAAAATAAATTCAACATTAACAATAGACGTCGTAACTGTATCAATGTGTGGTTCTGTGATCATTGTTATTTATTTCCCTGCTCGTGCCGGAATAAAGAAAAAGGAAAGCAGTGCTGCCCCTTGTCTCCTGTCATTTCAGAGTTGGAATGCCACAAAGCCAAGCTCACACTGTAGGGCGCATTTTCATCTGTAGCATCTAAACATTAATGAGTAACTGGGCAGAGCAGCAATCATTTCTGTAAAATCCTTCTTCTCCAGATTTTGGCTTTTTTTTTGCAATCCTGCCCAATTGCTACTAAATCCCCAGTAGCTGAAGATGGGACTGTATTTTTTGAAGTGTTTACTCACTGTTCAACAAATCCAAAATGCATTTTTTTTTCCTGCCAGGTTTAAAGATGATCCAGCCTGGCACTGTTTCTACATTAATCTAAATACAGCAAATTGCAGTTGAGCAAGATATTTAATGTAATATAAATATTAATATATAAAATGAGATCCTACAACACATATATGCCATTTTATGTCAGAACTTTGATGAAGTAATGGAGAGGGTTGATGAAGATCCTGAAATTAATGCTGAACATGAACAGTCAAAAGATATTTGACAAAGCCCATGCAGTAGATCTTTCGGAAAATTAATAACCATAGGATCAACAGCAGCTGCACGAATACAAAATTATTTAAGGGACAAATATATTTGTGTGATTGTTTTACAGATTTGAGAGAAATATAGAATAGTCTCTAACATTGGAATCTGTATTTCTTTCAATATGTTAGTGTCATAGAATCGAGTATACAAGATACAATTTCAAGATAAACTCTGAAATGTAAGCAGATAAGGGACTTTCAGAGGACATGACATTGAGTAGGCTGGCACACACGAGTGTGAAGTGATACATTGTATAAGGAAGAATGAAAATCACCAATATGAACTAAACTGTAGAATTTGAAAAGGGCTGTAACAGACGTCGGGAGGGGGATATATGCATGCAAATCTTTAGTGGCAAAACAAGTTGAAAGGCTGTTAATAAGGCAGATTGGCTCTTGGCTTTATTAACAGAGTAAAACAATAAGTGAATTATGCTAAACCTTTACAAATGACATGTTAGGTCTCAGCTGGAGGATTGTGGTCAATTCTATATTTTAGGGCAGATATGAAAGCCTTGGAATGGTACAATAGAAATTTACCATGGATTTTACTGGCAGCATTTATAGTGCATTTCCAAATGTCCTTGAGAAGGTCATAAGCCACAGTTTGAACCACTGCAAAGAATATAGTATATGTTAGGCAGGGAGTTCCAAGCCTTGATCCAGTGACAATGAATTGTAGGTCATATATCCCTAAGTAAGAATGGTGTGCAACTCGGATGGAAACTTTCAGATGGTGCTGTTTCCATGCAGCTGCTGTCCTTCTAGGTGCTAGTGATCATGTTTTTGGTAGGTACTGTTGAAGAAACCTTGGGAAAGTATCTATAAATCATCTTGTCAATGATACACACTGCAGATACAATGCACTGGTGGTGGATGGGGTGTAAATCAAGCAGTCTGCTTCATCCTGTCAATGTTGGTTCAAATGCTCTCATCCAGCCAAAAGAGTGCAGCATCCCATTATACTTGTGACTTGTGACTTGTAATTGGAGGATAGGTTTTTCAGCGTCAGATAGAGATTTAACTAAGCGGGCCATACAAATACATGTTTTTGTTCTGTGTACTACATTTTACAGAATATATTTTCTTTGGCTTGCTTCAGTTGTCCTTTGCAAACCATAGACACTATTTTTTTTTTGCTTCCTTGTATCCTGTTAATGCAGAAAGTATATTTTATACAATTTCAATTCACATTTACAACATAAGTGCAGCTTGTTCAAGCAGATGTGATGGCTAGAAAGGGTAAATTGAGTAAAAATATCATGGAATATCAGGAAATGACAAACAGATTCTTCCTATTAGTTTTAGTAATGGTGAATAAAGGGACTAAGAATCATAGAATCCCTACACTGTGGGAGCAACCATTCAGCCCACTGAGTCCACACCAACCCTCCAAACAACATCCCATCCAGACTCACTCCCTCTTCCCTACCCCTGTAAACCTGCATTTATCCTGGACACTATGGGCCAATTTAGCATGGCCAATCCATCTAACCTGCATATCTTTAGACCGTGGGAGGAAACCAACACAGATATGGGTAGAATGTGCAAGCTCCACACAGTCGCCCAAGGCTGGAATCGAACCTGCAGCCCGAGGCAGCAGTGCAAACCACTTAGCCACCGTGCTACCCAAAACTTAGGGGACCCAGAGCACATACAGAAGTTAGTCAAAAAAAAGATATGCAGTAAATGGAAGGATTAAATATCTACTCGCTTTCTGCATTAGAAAATGTGAAAACTGGGATGGAACAACTAGTACTGTCATGGTGAATATTTTGTCCTATTATTTACCTATATAGGTGACTGCCAAAGTATGAATGGTTGAAGCCGTGGGGATTACAGACTGTGACAAGGCATCCAGTAGAACTATAGGCAATTCATAAAGGAATTCTGAAGCCAGTCTAAGGGCAGTGTATCTAGCTTCAGCGCTTCAAAATACTAATCCAAATATCTGCCAAAGCTGAAATTTGAATTAAAACTTTCTTCTGACAAAATAAAAAGATTTGAGAGTAATCATTCTTCAATCCCATCTGATGAGTGCAAGGCCATTATCTATAAAACAAACAAGATGCCAGGATAATGGAAGAACAATGGTTAAAAATGAACCAAGTTTAATGAAGTTAATGATGGCTCCTGATCTAGAGTAGAATTTTATTTTATAAATCTTATATTATCCAGATGGGCTTGGCCAAAATTCTGAAAAAAAGTTCAAGCGATTTCATTTTTTTCTTAAGAATAAAACAGCAAAACCATGACACTGGACAACAAAAGCCCAGATGGGGTTGAAGTAAACCAGCTCTTTAATATGGACAGTAAGCACAAAGTTCGTGGACACGAGTACCTTATTGCAAGCATCAAGAACAGTGACTTTCTTTCCTGCCCATTGAATGGACTGCAGAATTAGATGATTCAAGGTTAATAGATACTCTTAAAATCGAAGGGGATCAACTTGTTTCAAGGAAGAGAATTGGTGGATGTAGGAATATTAATAGCAATGCACGATTTTGCTTTTCAGGAAAATAATTGTAACTTTCCCTAAAATAGAGAATTCAGTGATGGTTAATGACATTGAATGACAATCAGCGTCATTTACATTCAGTCTTGTTGGAGATGGCTATTGCCTGGCACTTATGGGGCACAAATGTCACTTAGCAGCCCAGGTCCTGATGCAGATGGGAACGGGGGCCTATTGTTCTACAAAGATGATAAGATCTCAAGCACCTGGGTGAAAATCAAATATAGTATCAAATCATCTGGCCCCCATTAACAGTGTCTTACTGCAGTGCAATACCCCATGAGATTGACCCCAACATATAAAGGATAAAACTGTCAGAGATACAAGGGACCCATTAAAACCTTCGCTTATATTCCTGGGTGCTGTCCATTCATTGTATGTGAAAATAAAGAGAAGAATAAATAACATTTGTCACCAATTACAGCTACCCATCTTCGAGGGCAGCTGGACTTGGTATCGAGAACCAAGACTGAAAGCCAGTGATGGCACACTCTGGAAATTGAACATTATTTCCAGAAAGGGCCATCATGTCATTGCGATGGAGTCAGAGTCCAGTACGAGGGTGACACAAGGTGTGAGAATGGGCATGGGAAGAAAGGAGGCTGAAATGTCCACACAGTGGATCAGAAATCACAGGATTGAAGAAGGGCTCTGAGCTCAACCACTTTAGCTTTGTGCTGAGAGACAAATGGTTCAAGTGTAATAACAGCCTCATGAGATTCCTTGAGATATAAAGATATGAGTCATCTTCCCATTAGATGGACATTTGCAATGCTAAGGCAAACGAGGCTATGGGCCAAATACCAGGAAACTGGATTAGCATAGTTAGGTGCTTGTTTTTGACTGGTGTTTACGCAGTGGTTGAAAGGCCTTTTACTGCACTGGAACATTTATGTTCTATGACTGCTCAAATCTCTGAGAATTTACAATGAGTGATGAATGTTGTACAGTTATCAGCAAATGGATCTTATAATGGACAGCACTGCTTTGGTGAAGCAGCCAAAAATGGTTGTGTCTCAGATGCTATCCTGAGGAACTCCTGTAGTGATGCTGATAATGGTGGGACAGTGTCAGCAGGTACAATTATGTCAGCATGACGACAGAGATACGGGACAAGAGTGGGAGTATGGCATTCAGACAGAGAACCATCTACAATCATATTGAACGGTGAAACAGATTTGATGGGCCAAATGGCCTACTTCTGCTATTTTCTATAGAATACCATTTCTTGACTAGTGTTACAAATATGTGTTATATTTAATATTGCTTAGAGGACTTAGATTTTTAAGGATTGTGGGAAAAAAATTGATTTCAAGTTTTGTGAATATAGCTGGGGTAGTTTCTTTAAAACAGGTCGTTACAAGTTCACTGCCTTTTTTAAACAAGGCCTCCTAGAAATGACTCAATTGGCAATAGCTGCTTGCTTTGCTGTAGATCCTGCTGGGGCTGTTTTTCAACATTGACTGGCTCATAGGGGCTCTCGTTTTATTTGATTCGGTTGCAGGTAAGCCAGCTAAGAACAAGTTTTACCTCTCAAGATTGTATTTCCTGAGCAAATCGTGTCTGCAAGACTTCAGAACGAACCGCACACCACAAAGGCCAGAATATTAGAGTCTGGAATATTCTACACTTTGTTCCTTTGTCTTCAGTAATAATCCATTGAGCAACAGTTATTTTTGATCAAACAGGCAATCTCTCCAGAGAAATGTGTATTTTCCTCTTCTTGCCTGAAGTATGAAAGTATGTGAGCTTTGCGTGTTTTGGGGATATTTATAAGGATAAGCATTTATACTTCTATATTGCCTACTGTGTTAACCAATGATTGCATCTCTCTTGAATAAGCTTTGTTCTGATAAAAACCCCACAACTTTTATTTATTAAAAAACCTGGTCGCTAGATCTTTGTAAGCAAATTTTATTTATAGTGTAATCCATGGAGCAGTGCGACTACAGTGACAGTGCACTCTTCCAGCCTCAGGTCTAACACTACTTGATGGGACAGATCTCCCAATTTTGGCACAAGCCCCCAGATGTTGGCTAAGAGGTCTTTGCAGGGCTAACAGACCTGAGTTTGCACATAAAATACATGCAAAAACACATTGACCCTTCAGGGAAAGAGGGGGGGAAAAAAAAAAGACATCTCTGCAGAGCATTCTGGGAAAAAATAATTGACCAAAAGATTATTCTTGAAGGAAAATGGACAAAGTACAGTACAAATCAGACTGTGTTGCTCTAATGTTCATATTTTCAGTGCCTATACTAAGGCCAGGCATTCTGAAGGGCTTTACTCCTTTCTTGTAGCAGTTTTGATAAAACTGAGTGGTTTGCAAAACCTTTTGCAGAGGGCAGTTAGTGTCAACAACTATGCTCGCGGATTTGGAGTCGCATGTAGTCCAGACCAGTTAAGGATTTTCTTCCCAAAAAGACATTAGTGAACTAGAACCAGATAGGTCTTTTGTGACAATCGACAATGATTACATAGTCGCCATTAGACTAGTTGACACAGAACTGGAAAAAAGGTAAACCCAAAAAGGACACTGACAAGTGGGTGGATAGGTGGCAGATGAGGTACAATGCAGACAAGAGATTATGGACATTGGTCAGAAGAACACTGAAAGACAACATAAAATAAAGGATACAATTCTAAAGGGGATGAAGTATCAGACAAACTTAGGTGTACATGTGCACACATCATTGAAGGTGCAAGACAGGTGGTGGGCAGTTAATAGTGTTCTCAGCTTTGTTAATGGGACCATACAGTACAATAGCAAGGAGGTAATATTGAATTGTGTACAAGTGAGGTGCCACTTTGTAGGGAAAACGTGAATGTATTGGAGACAGTGCAGAAATGATTTCCAAGAATGGGAAGCGGTAGCCATGATGATAGGTTGAAGAAGGTGGGTCTGTTCTCTTCAGAGAGAAGGCGGCTGAGAGGAGATTTGATAAAGGTTTACAAAAAAATCACGAATGGGCCGGACAGGAAGAAACTATTCCTGCTCAAAGAATAAAAAAAAAATGAGACAGCATAGATTTAAAGTGATGTGCAAAAGAAGCAAGGGTGATCTGGGGGGAAAAAAAAAAACTTTTTCCTCAAAGCAAGTAATTATGGTCTGGAAAGCAGTGCCTGAAAATGTGAGAAAAGCAGGTACATTTGAGTCACTGGATGATTATTTGGATAGAAATGATGGGCAGGGATATGGGGAAAGGCAGGAAATTGGCACTAGGTAATAGAAGCAGCGCAGACACAATGGACAAAATTGTCTCTTTCTGTGGTGTAACAATTCTGTTATTCTAGTTTTTAATTTTATATTTCATTGAATCGAAATTTCACTGTACGGTGGGATTTGCACCCACATTCCCAGAACGTTAGCCTAGGGCTCCAGATTTCTCATCAAGTGGTGGTACAATGCCAGCATCTCTCAAAATAAACTGTAACAAAGACATTTTCAAATTTGATTTCAGCTTGGAGCATAGTTGAACCTGTAGTGCCACAGTTGGAGCTAGTTCGCACACTGATGGTCGAGGCTTAAAGACAAGGACGACTGTGTGCTTGCCTAATCCTAGCAGAGCTCAGCATCATAGTTAACCTTTGTTAACATGGGTATCAAGTTCTAACACAATTTGAACACTGGCAGCCTTTGATTTCTGCTACTTAATGCTAACTGGAACAAAGCTAGCTCCAGGAAGTGGTTGCTGTCCTTTGACATCAAGTTCAAAAAGTAGCAAAATGTTTTGATATTGCAAGAACCAAACTTGACACAGGTTTATATCACTGAAGTCCATAGTAAAGGCTAAACAAGCTCAATATTCCAATTGATAACATGTATCCACAGTCATCGAAGGAATGCAGAACAATGTGCTCCCCAGTTCTGCATCAGAATTTGCCCAGAAATCGTAAAAGACTTTAGCAGTGATCTGTAGCTATGGTACAGATTATAGGACAATTATAGAGAATGCAGCTATCTACCAATATATTGAATATGCCTTTATTATAGATAATACAAACAGGAATATACCATGAAGACAGCTAACTGCACGTTGAATAAAACCCTGTTTCTAACAGCACAAAGTACCACCTTGCTGCAAAAACAAAAAAGGACTGCAAGAGTTCACTTCTCAATACTTTTTAACCCATGAGGTGAATGTTTTCTTTAACCTGCAGTTTTGCTGCTGTGCATCTGTGCCCACTCATCCGCTCCCCTTTTACTCCCAATCTGCCATTTTGTTTGCTTTTTAAATCTGAAATTTTGTTCTTAGTTCCTCCACTAGTTCTTTCCTATTTTACCCCAAATTGTCTTTTAATTCCCAAAAGCAAATTAAAAAATTATAATTCTTAAATATTGTTTTATCTTTATCTTGTAAGTGTCTTTTAATACTCAGTATAATATGAAGGCACCAGATAGAACCAAAAATAAGGACATTGCCCACACTCAGCATTAGGAAAATAATTCTGACATCCTACCCAGGACTTCACTTCCCAATCAGTCGGGGCTTGCGTTCCACTGAGCTCAATATCCTGATGAGCTCAACAGGTACTGG